CTTCAGGCAAAAATAACTGACATAGTGATCCTTGCAGGCGATTTGAATGCTCAAGTAGGTCGTCTGAGCTCCTTGGAATCACATTTGGGTGGTCGTTTCGGAGTCGATGCTCGCCGCACAGACAACGGAGATCGACTCCTTCAGCTGTGTGCTGATCACGAACTGTTTCTGGCAAGTACGAACTTTCAACATAAACGTTCGCACCGCGTAACCTGGCGGCCGCCAACTACAAATCAACCGTGGACCCAGTTGGACCACGTGGCCATCAGCCACCGGTGGAGAGCCACAATTCAAGACTGCCGTTCCTTTTGGGGCACACCACTTGATTCCGATCACGCCGTGGTGCGCGCACGCTTGACAGTTCGTTTCTCTTCAAAGGACTGCCAACAGTATCGATCTGAGTTAACCCAACAACTCTCCGCAGTAAAACAACCCTGTGGTGGCAGTTGGCATCTGGATGAAGCGTGGCAAAATGTGAAAGGAGCTATACTAGCGGCGTTCAGTGCTGCCTGCCCGACTTCTCCAATTCGACCAAAAGACAACTGGATGTCGTCGAGGTCGTTATCCATGATTGATGCCAGGAAAACCATACCAGCAGGCAACGAGTACGACGATGCACGCAAATCCCTCAAACGTCAAACAGTGAAGAGTCTAAGAAAAGACAGTGAGCTCTGGTGGATATCGAAAGCTCGGAAGATGGAGAAGGCTTTTGCTACGGGAAACAGCCGTGCCCTTTATCAACTGATACGATCGACTGGCCCTAGGAAAGCAACGGTCAACGAAACGATAGGTGAAAAGATGGCTCATTAATTCATTCACAAAAACGTCGACTGGATAGATGCGCACTTCGAAGAGCAGTTCAGCTGGCCTCATGCAACACAGCCAATGGAGGTAATGCATACGGGCGAATGGAATGTAAACCTTGATCGCTCTTCGGATGAAGAAGTAAGTTATGAAGTAGCCGTACTGAAACGTGAGAAGGCACCAGGACCGGACGGTCTGTATCCAGGCCCCTTCAAAGAAGGCGGAAAACCCCTGGTGACCCACCTGACAAAGCTTATTGGTGCTATATGGGACGAAGAAAAAGTGCCTGCAGAATGGGGCATGTCGACGGTTATCCCCACCTTCAAAAAGGGTACGCGGACGCTATGTGAAGACCACCGTGGCATCAGCCTGTTAGCTGTGGCATCGAAGGTGCTCTCTGGTCTTATCCTTCGAAGGTTGACTGAACACAGGGAGGGGCAGATCCGTGAACAACAAGCTGGGTTCCGTCCTGCAAGATGTTGCATCGACCATATCTTCACACTACGACAGATTCTGGAACAGCGACACTGCTTCCAGCAACCAACAATGGTTGTTTTTCTTGACCTGAAAGCTGCCTTTGACTCTGTGGACCGCCAAGCACTATGGCAGTGTCTGTGGAGCAAAGGTGTCCCCCATAAATTCTTGACCCTCATTAAGGCGCTGTACGCCAACTCCCGCGGCCGTGTAAAGGTCTACGGGAAGCTCTCTCCTGAGTTCACCACATCCAGGGGTGTCTGACACGGCTGTCGTCTTTCACCTTCCCTCTTCAACTTCGTCATTGATACGATCATGGAAGACTCACCACCAGCCTCTAATGCCTGTGGGGTCGAAGTACTCCCTGGGCCTCTTTTCACAGATATCGATATCCGCAGACGACATAGCTCTTCTGGGATCTGATCCCGTTGTAACGCAAACAATATTAAATAATCTAAATAATTCTGCCTCGCAGTTCGGCATGCGCTTCACACCTGCAAAGTGTAAAGTGCTACTGCAAGATTGGGTNGACAAATTTGTCTACCTGGGCAGCTGTATCAGCCCCGGTGGTCTCGCGAAAGATGATATTTCCATCCGAATTGGGAAGGCCAGAGCAGCTTTTGCGAACCTACGTCACCTGTGGCGTAGGCGTGACATCAGCTTCTCTGTCAAGGGTCGAGTTTACAATGCTGCGGTGCGCTCCATATTACTATATGGATCAGAAACCTGGCCGCTGCGCGCCAAGGACGTCAAAAGACTTTCACTGTTCGACCATCGATGTCCTCCGAACATTGCCCGAATCTGGTGGGAACACTGGATCAGCAATTCTGAAGTACGTCGAATGGTATTCGGGAGAATTAACTCACCCTCAATAGATGAACTGATCACACTGCATAGGTTGCGCTGGCTTGGCCACGTGTTGCGTATGCCAGTCGACCGACTTCCTCGAAGGGCTCTTTTCGCACAACCACGTGAAGGGTGGAAGAGAGCCAGAGGTGGTCAAACAATGACTTGGCAGCGAAGTATGAAAGCCATTACCAGCAAACTCAGCTGCACTGGTCACTGCCGTCTTCGTGGATGGGGACCCCGAGACGGGCCACATCAATGGCTTGAGACGTTGTCAGATATGGCCCAGTCGCGCCCTCAATGACGCTCGTGCATCCAAACTATTGCCTTCAATGCATAGCTCCTTTTCCAACCCCCTACCCCACTTGACAGCCCACTGACTGCTAGATTTATGCACCAATTTATCAGCTGCCGCCTGCAATGCGCAGCTACACTGCGGCAGCTACAACCACTGTACGACGAGTACGCGGTTATTACAGCTGACAATGATGATGATGATGACAATGGCTAATAGCAGTTTCCAGGCTAAGTCACGCACACATGCATGAAGCACCCCAGTGTCTAAGGCGCGAAGCTACTGGTTGCAAAGCCTATCATTCAAACCCAATGTCAGGGTTTGGGCGAACTCGTACGGTCTCATCTCACCTTTTGGGTTTCATCATAGCTTCACGCCGCCACAAGTTGACACTTATTTGCTTTGTGTCGCAGGCACAACCGAACATTCAACATCATGTTGGGCTGTGTGTGATTCGACCATAGGAACAAGACTCCATTCATATGGTCATCAATTTCTTCCCACAACAAGGAAGCTACCTCCACAGGAGTAGCTTGGTTAGAACAGTTAGCGCTTTTAGGTTGTTCGAACCGTTGCTAGATCTAGTCCCTATGCAGATCGTAAACTCTTGCCTTTACAATTACTTCCCTCGGGACTTTTCGCATAGCCACCTGAACTATATGGATGTGGGTCACGAGAGGTCCGGCTCTAACATTTCCATGTCGAGGCCGTTTCTGGAGCTGTACCTTAACTGGATAAAAGCTCCTAACGACAAAAAATATCAGCCTTTAGGAAAAATTTAATTGAAAGCAAAGGAGATATCCTAAGTTGACATATGTTTTATGGCTCGACTTTAAATATGGGTTTACTCGACTTTATTTTTTACCTGCACGTGCTACCTACTCATTTAAACAGGCTTATGTATTCGTCAACTTAGTTTTTGCCGCTTGACATTGATCTACATTCGATCGTCCTCTCGGGACAGGTCACTTGAAGGGACCGAATAAAGTGGTCGTCGCTTCCGGAGGATGGTTATAGATCGTAAAAGAAACTCCGGCATATTAATGGAAAGTGGTCACTTGCGAAAATCACTCACCTTGGGTAACATTTCCATGGGGGGAGAACATTAAGGCCGACTAATGACTTGATATGCCTACTTAAATTCGTCGCCCCGTTCAGCGAGTGGTGATAATGGCATGCAATACTTGGTGAGGGGTTGTAACACTGGGCAACCTCAATGGGTATTTCAGTTTCAGAGTAGGGATTGTATCATTCTCAAAGGTCTCCAGCATGTTTTGATGAGGTAGTAGAATTAGCCTTCATAATACTCAGTGACACCCGCAGATGTGACCCAAAGCGACCAGTTCTTGGTCCGTTTGAACATGTTTAAGTGATAAACCGTATTCCCGTATAGAGCGATTTTGATCGATCCTACTGCTGTTTCATTTGGAGAAATTGGCTGTATTCTTATCAATTCGATCTTATTTCCAAGACCTGGTAATTCCTCTGAAAAGACTACTACGTAGAAAAGAGTGCTTGTTCTCTTCTACTAGTGGCTTCGTCTGGGATCGCTGCATAATAAATAATGATAGTCATTCAGCTGTAGCACCCTTTCGGTGCCTAGCTGCCGTGCCACACGAAGGAGGCACGAGGGCTGACATACTGCCAGGTTGCCGAAGCCTAGACGGGAAGTCGAGTGGCAGAGGTCGGGTTCGAACCACGGACCTTCCGGTCAGTAAATTCGCGCTCTAACCACTTGAGCCATCTCGCTGCATAACTTACGATTGTTTAGGAACCTCTAATGTAATAATCGTTCTTTGCTCAGCTCCATATTTTGAAACAGTTGCTGTTTCTGGTTGTTTTTTTACCGCGCTTTAGACCTGGTTAATTCAGACTGTCTAATTTATCAACGATGTATAGTTTCGTGTAAAATCCCCAGAAAAGAGCGTCTTACTGTTCGTCTGTGCCTTCGAGTAATCTCTGTAAATAGAAGTCCCATCACTGTTTTCCGTTTTAGAAAAACCACCTCACGAGACAGAACGGCAGTGAATTATTTTGAACCGTAGTCTCTAATGAAAAATGGTCTCAAGTTAACTCAAAATTACTATCTTCAAAGTGTCTACGACGGAGAAAAGTTGTAACAATGATGTACCACACGGGCTGGATTCATGTTTTCAGGCCTATAATCACTTTGGATAAGGCATTATCTCGTAACGTTGGTTGGAGTTGTTGGGAAGGAATTTCGCCACGAAGGTACCCGAAATACTTTTTCAAGAAATTAGTCAAGTCTGGAGTCGGGCGATCTTAGGGTAGCATTGGTATATCTGACTGCGTCACCAATCCGTTATATCTGATTGCTGTCCCCGCTCCAGTGCTTTAGTGTCGGGAAAAGACTCGACTACAAGGGATACAAAGGCCTTATTGCAAAAAAGCGAGTGGGTCGAGAAGTACGACGGCCCTGCTCTATATATTCAGCGGGCACTGTCTGATTTTGACCCAAGACTTTCGCACTGCCTGATTTTGGTCCAAGACTACCTGGCTCAGTCTTGTGGAGGGCACTGTCCGACTTCTATCCAAGCTCGGTGTTTAGTGGAATAGGTTTAAGGTATTCTGGGCTAATCTTCGGGAGTATTACCCTGACAGGCATCACTAGAGACTGGGGCCGTTACTACACTGCTGTACAGTTTGCTTATTCATATTTAAGGACTTGAAATTAGGAAAATAAAATACTGGACTGATGTAGGAGGAAAGGAGACCTGGTGCTAAACTACCGCCATCACCTTGAGATATCTACACCTCCAAACGCTGAATCAATTTGGAAGGTAACTGACACCACAAGCGCCGTGGAAATCTGTTCGACAGCCTTTCTTGAGACCCTGGCGCTGTTGGTTTTCTGTGGTATCCGACAAGGACGCCCACTTTGCGGACTCGAAGGACGTCGAAGCCCGTGTGTTCAGATCTGTGAGAGTGAGAACATCGATCTGAAATATGCAAACAACATTCTCCTCTTTGGAAGGAATACTCTACTCATATAAGGTTGCTGAAAACTTTTCGACTACCCAATACTGATTTCGTCCTCTTGGGAACTCAGGTGGGTGTAGTCCCTAAAGATGCCACAAACGAGAGGTTCATTTGTGTCTTTCGTTAACACTTATGTAATTTGCAGATGGGTCTATTTCATCAGTTGCTTACAGCGTGGTGCGCGTCTGGTTGGAGAAACTACAAGATATGGCTGCCAACCGATGTCAGTGGCGTTCTTATTGTCAGTTTCTATCCAGATTGCCTGAGTGAATGTCCGGAAGTGTAGGCACCTCGGAATGATTGCAGTCCACCTTTATTATTTTCCTTACAATAGGTCTTTCAAATAACTAATGGTCGTACGATAGTGATACATCGGTGTTGAACACTGATGTCATGCTGTTGCTGATGATGATGACTTCTCGATGGGATCTATTGAAAAGTCAAAATGGCAGATCCCGTCCGAAAATTGTAGCGAAATCAGTATACGGTGCTTTACAGGACCACGATGTGATAGTGCTTCAGGATAGGTCTTAACGAGAAGGCGGTGAGGTAACATTGATGTTGCTGATCGTGGTAACGATGATGGTAACGCACTGAGTGGTTTTGCATAAATGCTACGACCTCATAGTACTTTCTACTTGTTATGTTTACGTATCCACTAAGTTAGGTACCAAATGTAGCCTGAAAATGCAAAGTAGTTGCACTTGTCTCCCCTATCGTGTTGCAGTGGAAGCGCACTCCATCAACGTCTCAAGGACCGTGAAGTGGAAGAAGCTGCAGACGAGCGAGATCGTCAAAAAGAAGTCGAGCAGATTGATGCGGCTCGCCGTAAGCTGATTGACGAGAAAGATCCCAACGCTGAGTCCATAATTTTCCAAATGGAACAAAAAATGCAAGAGCATTTGCGTCGGCGCCTGAATATCGATACAACGGAACCGGTCGCAGCTTCGGACAGTGAACCAGAAGGGCAAGAACCTATATCCGAATCGGTGCCTCAAAGTGATCATCGGGTATGTTTCAATTACCTGCTTGACTTTTAACACGTTTGGAACAAAATTTACAGATGGTTACACTCACTGGTAGCTGGATCATTCGAATAAGACGGACTTGTATTTGGTGACCGCCATTTGTAGGTAGTTTGGCCGAAAGCGATTCAAAAATAGTGATTGTTCAGAAGGTAGGAGTCCACCGATGTTTCACCTCTCCGCATTCTATCCTCCACTTGTTGGGGTATTTTTGGTAGCAATTTGCCGTGGTCTTTGTAACATCGTATAGCTTGTGGCCGTACCCCTTTTCGCTGCTGCCGTACAATGGTAAACTGTCAGAATGTTGATTCGTTTAATGGGGGTGGATTCCTAACAGCTGCTTACCACGAATGATCTTGCATCTAGATTTTCCGGTTTTAACCTTAGGCTTTCGTTGAAGTCCAAAACGAACCACAGGAAAAACACTCAGAATCTGCTCGTGCTTCACCAGCGTCACCATCGAACACTGCCGATCCTTCTGGACCTGCACAATCCCAATTCCAGCCAACTGAGTTTTCAAATCCACCAGCTGATGAAGCAAGTGTTAGTTTGTCCAAAGACGGCTCGAGCACCTTTTTATTTGCAATGAATACAGGTAATTTGGCTTTCTATTTTGTTGCAATTGCCCGACTCTGTATTGCACCATCATCACAACCACTGGTCCCATTGTTCCGTTCAGATGAAGTCATTCTCTATCCACTGGTAGTATTGTGTAAGAACTGTGAGATTTTGGAACCAACCTCTAATTCCAGGCCACCGGAGGAATTGGACGAGTAAATTAGTCCGTATATGCACGTGTGCTCCTGTCCAACTCATGTTTGAATTCTGTCGGATGGAAAATGTGGTAAGTATCTGTCTTTCGGCAAAACCTAACAGTGCTTTATCTCGATCGACATCACCTGAGAACCAGGATTACATACGGGTTTGTATCCGAAGATCTTGTGATTGACCAATTTATTATACGGCCGGTGGTGCTGTTCGGATTGGATCCCGAGTTGTTCATGTCAAAACCTTTATTTTCTGGGGTGTCGTTGGGCACATCTGAACGGGCAAATCAGGTGACATCTATTCCTAATTAAATTCAGCTGAGTCCCGGTCACAGTTTACGTTGTTCACCTTGAATACGAAATCTCCAATTTCTCAAATCTCTGTAATTGATTTGCTCCCGTCGTCGTTGTTTCTCTCATTCAGACAGTAAACTAAGCATGAAACTCGTTTAGATACCCGTACTTGCAGTGGTTCCTGTGATACATCTTACTAATTATCACCATTTATTTTTGAAGAGCATGGTCACAAACATAAAAAGTGAACGCAAGCGATGA